AATATCAAGGACTCTAGAACAAGCCACCCGGCTTCTTTTCTCTCTCTTACTGGCTACGAAGACAAACTGGTGCTCGACGCACATTACGAGATAGTTCGCAATAGGATGGCCGGTGTTAATGAGAAGAGAGAATACATTGAAGGCTCAAACCCAGACAGCGTATCGCTAAACCTAGTGGTATTCAACTGGGGAAATATGGATCGAGCGCCGGTGCCCGCAGGGAATCCCAAAAAGAAGCTCAAACCTGAGAAGGGATTCGATTATCACCCTCTTATTGACATGTGCTTCAACAATTCAGCTCATATTACCCTCGTACTCGAGGCAGGAGCACTTGCGTCAGAGTATTCGATCGCAACCATGCGAAAACACGAATACAGGGGGATGCTAATCCACTCTCCTCCCAAGGAGCCTGAGGCACCCTCAATGTATATTGGAGTCAAGGGTGACCCAACAACAGACATCGCTCTCGTCCACCACTTTTACCGTCATCGAACAATGAAGCCTAAGAATGGTGGTCCCAAGAAGCGACTGTGGGCATGCCACGGTGCGGTATGCCGCCTCACCTTTGGGTACCACAGTACCATCCAGAGGCAAAAGAATGGGTCCACCCATATTCTGGCCAAAGGATGACGAGAGACGAGTTCATGCAGATTATCGGATATGACCCACTCAAGGGCAAAAATCCTGACAAGGATGGACCCACTGATGGCTCTTACCTCTCACCAGAGGCGTGCCTGACACTGTCGAACCTCGACCCCTCGCCGATTCTCTGTGAATGGAACGGCCATGTCGAGGGTGATGAGCCACCAGAGGAAGACTTTGAGTCATACGCAGAGATCTTCTCACAAGAAGCATCGAACGATCTTGACGAGATGTGGTGTACAAAAGGGCCTTACAAGGTCATCACCATCGCGATCGTCCATTTCAACTCATTCATGACTCATAAGGAAGAACAGAGACGCGAACTGGTGAACGCGTTCCTCAACGAGGTTCTCCCTTTTAAACCGGATGTAATAGCGGGAGATCTCAATAATATTGCGTCGAGGCTCACCTTAAAAGGTGGAGACGTTCACCCGCGAAACAGTTTGTTTTCTCTATACCTGGAGAAGAAACTTGCAGCATTCAACAAAATAGCAGGAAGGCACTCACAAGTGCGACATCTTTGCTTGAACAACTCCGACCAGCACAGACTGGCACGTGCAGATCGTCTACCGGCGGACCCGGCGAAGAAAGTTGCTGACCTTGACTGTATCAACAGCTATATCCTTGACTGGAGTAAAACGCCGCACACGGCGTCACCTAGTCCAAGAGATGTCACACCTGCCGCCGAAAGAACATACTGGGAGCGAATCTCAGATATGTGGCAGGACATGAACAACAACAGGGATATTGATATCCGTCTGTTTGTCTCAGTCAAGCAGTACTATTCAACTTTTTCTAACCTTGACCTATGGTTGAGTCCCCCTGACAAAGATTGGCACAGCCCTTTGGGCTTCACGATACAACCAATCCTTACAAAAGGGAAACACAACCGGTCAGATGCCCAGGTCCAGAAGATCGCTGACAAGCGAAAGGCTTACAAGCAGCGTAATGCTGAATACTGGGGTTACAACGATTCATTCGTTTACTCATCCGGCAACAGCTGGTACGACAAATCGCAACCATCAGGTAGCCATCACAGATATGGAAGATTCTGGGAGTGGCCACAGCCTGAACGTCCCAGCGAGCCTGAAGGTCCTCCTCCAAGAAGGAACCAGGAATCATCGTCCTCTTCACAACAAGATCTACCAAGATCAAGGTCCAGGCCTCAAAGAACCAATATTGTTGACAAGCTCAACATGTCTTTGGAAGAGCTGGATGGACTAGAAGAAGAACCGTCACCAACAAAAAGTGACATCGAAGAACACGAAAGAGAAACATCAAACTTGATGTCTGCTCAGAGAGATGAAGAGGAACAAGAGGACGAATCCTCCAGCCGGAGAAGAAGAAGGAAGGCATCGCGTCCACCGTCTGCTCCGAGCGGCAAGGCACTCAGAACAGCTGCTACAGCAGCGGGATTGTCGGGCTGGTTCGGACACCGCAACCGAGGTGGAGCAAACGCAGAGTCTATCAAGACTGATGAAACTTCACTTCCAGACTCACTAACCAGTGAGCAAGACTTCTCCGTCTTCAGCATTGCGTGGAATGTGTTCTTGCTGCTAATGGGCTTACACTGGATGTGGAAGCAGATTACCAGGCCTCCTATCAGATGTATGGAGCGCCAACAACCAAAATCAAAAGCAGCAGCGAACCAAAGAGTTCCATTCCTCGAACCCGAGGATGAACCGCAGACGCGTGAACCTTTAGGACCCAACAGGGTCAATTCCGGAGAAACAACTGATCTGCGACCTATCTGGCATACTTCCCGAAGCGAAGTCTACCATCTCTCAGACAGCTGTTACCAGCTCAAGCAAGCAAGAGATGTTTGCAAGAAGGTGCTGTGCAAAAACTGCCTCCATGCAGTACAAGTTGCGGAGATTCGCAGGAACGATCCTTTCCAAAGAGGTGATACACGACCACGTGGCACCGAAAGAGACATTGAGCGCTTCCAGACCTACGATGATGCAAGTAACACTCCTCACATGACACAATTATTCAAGGATGCCTTGCATGCACAAATGGCCGAAGAAGCCATGCAGATTACCTATACATCGATCCCCAAAGGATCCTCGGCAAAGGCCAGAGGTACATCTGCACTCTCAAGTGCCGCATCGTCATCAGCGCCCAAGGCAATGCCACCAGGGCCTAACAAGGCAAACATGTCACCTCCACCTAAGAGTCCTCCGCCAAAGGCGAAAGGAACAGTACCTTCTGATCCTCCGAGACCAAAAGGTCCTACCAGAAGAGGAGGTCAAAATCGGCGCATTCAACGAAAGGCAGCTAGAGAAGCCCACAACAGTGGACTCTGCACCTATGCAGACGCTGCACTTGACGAAGCCAATCAAGGCCAGGCAATTAACGTTACGTGCCGAAACATAGTAGCAAGACACGTCAGCTCTATCGATGCAACGGTAGAAGCAGCCGGCCAGTTTACACAACGCGTGCTACAGCACGTAGAAACATATGATGAAGAGGAACCGTGGAGCACGGAGTTCCTACCAGTCGTGGAAGTCCTATTCAGGAACTTAAGCGGCGACGAAACAACTGTCATACATGACAATCAAACGGTAACTATGCCTCTTGCGAAATACACAGACCTCCTCAGAATCGCACAAGCATTGCGAGGCTCTATCCAGAGAGACAAGGAGGAAAGAAAGGAACATCTTGACACCATCCAAGATACTCTATCCAGAGTGGAAATCCTTCTAACAGCACTGAAGGACTCAAGGACAGTCTTTAACCAATTGGTCCATTCCTCACTAGAGATAGAGCGAAGAAATAACAATCTCAAAAATGTCCTCGAGACACTCTTTGACGACCAAAGCTCTGAGGAAGACCAGTCAGAATCTGACAATGAAGAAGTCCTAACTCCTTCTGCACCACAGTACTGGAATAGCCTTTATGCCCACGCCTTATCTCCTTCAGGAGATGAAAGTGAAAGATCATGGGCGTCCTCAGACGGACAGCTTGAAAGAAGAAGGGCTGAACGGGCAAAGGCTAAGCAGCCGCAACCGGCAAAAGCCAAGGCAACTCCAGCCAGCTCACAAGCTGCTCCAAAGGCCGAGCCAAAGGCGACAACATCCAACCATGGATATGATACTGCAGACGCCGCCTTCACCAGGGCTGAGAACAGATTACTCGGAATCTTTTCAAGTTCCGAAGAAGACCACTCAGACCCGGATGAGCCACATCCGAACGTCTACGCTCGAGCCTATGATCCAAACCTGGATCCAAATCTGAGATAAGAGAATCTCAGAGTTTCACAACAGTGACTCACAAAGCTCTAGCAAGAGCAAAGTGAAGGGCTGCATAATTCGATGTAGAAAACATCACCAGACATGATCTTGTACAGATGATCTCTCTGACCAACATGCATGAGTGTGTGTGCAAAATGAGTGGAGTGTCCTCAGCAGTGTACTTCAGTGCTATACCTAGCATAAATAATATGCTGTTTTTATAATGAGTCCAAACTCCGCAACTGTGACAGTGGGCATAATAGTATATGTGTGAATGTGCGGCCATGCTTTCGGTAAAAGAAAATTAGTGTCTGTTTGAAACCATAAACCTCTAAAGGGGTAGCTCTAACAGGTACCTACAGCAATGGCTGCATGCTCATACATATACATTCCGCTGCCCATTGGCTCACAGTGGTTTTACCATATTGAGACAAGACAAGCTCTCCTTGCGTAGCAAGACAAAACAACTACTGTCCGTGTGCAGGGCGCTGCCCTTTGATCCTTAGGGAATAACTGGTCATACACCTCCTCACAAGGAGTATCCCTTGGGGGTGTATCGGCACAAGGGGAGGGGGCGAGGGGGGAGGGGGGGAGAGGAGGGAGAGCGCAAAAAACGGTGTCCCCAAACATTTGGATTGCAGGGAGGAGGAGGGTACCTGAGGTAACCGTCAAGACGCCTGGGCCTCTGGCCTCGGCGGATGTGGGCATCATCTCCTGAATGACAAGACTAAGAATACAAGAGCCAATGTTCTTATATCCTCAGGCACTGTGGCTTTGGCGACCGGTGCTGCTTACCACCTGCACAGACAGTGTGCCGAAACATTCGGAGATTCCAGACTCGTCGAGAATTGCCACCAGCACGGGCGAGATTTGTTGAGGAACGCAAAACACGAGAAGTTCGGCCTCATTAGCATTTTCGCGAACACTTTGAGGTGCGGTGCTCTCGAAGAGCGAGGAGTTCCTACAATCAAAGCTTCAAACGCAGAGAAAGTCACGCAACACACGTGGCTGCTCCGGAAACCAGTCGTGAAGAGTATGACGTGCCGTGGATTCAAACTCCCTCTGCACATCCAGAACATGATGCTTCGCAAGAAGGCTGACCACACGTGGCCATCACCAACCCCGATGGGCCTGTTCGAGTCCGTTGCGGCAACTGCCGCTTCCAGAATTGTTGGCCTTTCTTTCTGCAAATGATGTGTAACTCTGATTTGATGGCTACAATAATTAACCGGGAACCATGTTTGTATCTAGGCTGAAATGAACAGGCATAGCGGCATCACAAATCCTCTTGATGATGTAGTAAAACCCGCATACACCCTAAACTCCAAAGTCAAAACCTTAGATGCCAAAACCCAACATACAATCTGATGTCGTTCAGCAATGCAACTGGCTTCTTAGGAGTGGGTGTTCCATTTTTTCAGCGACGAACCTCCGGGGTGCTCTGTGAACGATGCTTGGATTGCTTCGCTTGTCAAATCGGGTGACTTCTTGGCACAGCAAAGCACAGGACGGCTGGTCATGGTGGTGGCCGCTGCTCGTTTTGCCTGCCTCGTTTGGGAAGTCACTGTGCAGCACGATCAGAACGGCGAGTCGTGTTTCCTGTGCAAGCCAGATGGGAACGCTGTTCATTGGCAGTTTCTTGTTGACGTGCAGGATTGGCTGTTGGTACCTGCCACGCCGATTCTGCTGAGCGACAAGGGGCCAATCGCATGGAAACGATCGGCCGATGCCATGTCTTTGCCTCAAGCTCTATGTTTGCAAGGCTGTGCCATCAACAAGGAGCAGTTGCTGCAGCTGATCAAGCAACTGAATGGGACTCCCCCCAAAGGGGCCAGTAAGCGAAGACTGCAGGAGTTTCTCATCGAGCACGTCCTTTCGCCGGCCGAGCAAGCGGTGGCTTTGCAGCAATTTCAGACTGCAACTTCGGCAGAGTGGGAGGATGAGGTCGACAGCCAATTTTCCGAGATCATCAGCGAGCTCGATAAAGATGAAGCCAACTCCGGAGACATCAAGGAGTATGTCAACATCAAGAAGAAGGGCCAGCTGCAGCTGAAAAGGAAATTCAAAGCTGCAGACCAGGAGCTAAAGGAGCTCAAAAAACAAGCTCGCTCTCGAGGGCGAGGAAAAGGCCGTGGAAAGGGCAGTGGCAAGGGAGCGAAGGCAAAAGCAAAGGCAAAAGCAAAGGACAAGGGTCTTAGCTTCTTCGAAAGGTCTTTGCGACGACAACGCAACAAGGCTGCTGGTGCTGGAGCAGCTCCGGCAGAGAATGCAGGGCCGGCAGAGATCCATGCTGAGCCTTCTCGAGAGGAGGTTGTTGGGCCTCCATTGTTGGATCAGGCCAAGCCCTCGTCGAGCTCCCGTCCTGAAGGGACTGGCGAGCCCGCCGCATCGTCGAGCTCTCGTGCTGCTGGGCCTGGCGAACTCGAGCCACCCGCACAGGTTCTTCCTGGCCTTGCACAGCCGGCGGAAAGAGCTAGCTTTATCAAAGTCAACAAAAGCCCCGACGAGCTCTTGGGCAGGTTGGCGCCACCACGGTGCACATTCGGACTGAATCATCAGGATCGACGTTGGACATCGCAGTTCAAGTTCGACACCTCCCACGCCCCTTATCCTTACAGCCAGAGGACCAAGAGTCGTTCCTTTGCAAAGGAGTGCAGTTGGCAGGAGGCTTTGAGGGAGGTGCACGCATGGAATTGGAGGAAGTGGTCTCACTTGAAAAATGAGGCACCGTTGGAAGCAGGTGATTCCGAACAGATTCCCGGCCAAATGCCTGCCGATGTCATGCAAGACTTGCAGGTGGTGGTGGACAAATTGCCAGAGATGAAGAAGTACGGCAGAAAGTAGAAAAACAGTCCGTGTCAGTGTCATGCAAAGTAAAGTGAGTTGCTCACTTCCTCTCTGCACCTTCCGCTTCATTGCTAAGATGTCTGCTGCTTCGTTTCAATTTCCCTGGAGTTCTGAATGCTCCTGACCTGCTGGCAGGTTCTCCGGCCGGCTGACAGCTCACTCGCGAGCTCGACAGAAATCAAAACTGGAGGGGAGACGGCTGAGGGTTCAGGCTTTACGGTTTAGGCTGAGGGATTTTCAAAGGCAGAACCCTGCAGCCCCATATTTTATGCTCACCTGAAGCAATAAACTACAACCCCAGCTTCTTGGATATTGTTGATGGACAAAATCCTGCATGACCCTAAGGACTCTAAACTATGGGAACTCTGGTATATTCCGTATAATGGGTAATGCAGGATTTTGTCTATCAACAGTATCACAGCTTCGCTTGACACGGGCTTCTCGGCGCAGTGAAGTCTAGGATATGTTTAGCTTTGACTAGCTTCTCTTAGCTTTTGCTAGCTTTTCATAGTTCCCTTTAGCTTCTCCTAGTTTTCCATAGCTTCCTTAAGTTTCCTTGAAAATCCCTGGAAATACTGTGGTTGTCCCGCGATGCTGAAGGGGCACCACTTAAGCGTGTACCCCATCCCCCTCAATGAGGTTTCTCGGTGGGTGGTTGATGGATGGGTGGGGCGGTTAGGTGGCTGGGTGAGGGTGGGTGGGTGTGAATCAGGGGTGCGGGAATTGGTTGGGGGACCGGTTGGTGGTGGGTGGTTTGGGGGGGTGGCGGGGTTGTCATGCAGGAATGGTCCCTGATGCATGCGACTTTTATCGATGCTGCTCTTTGCTTCATGACCCATCCAGTCAGAAGTCCTAAGTCTTTCTAGGAACTTCACACGGCCACCGGGCCCATGCCCCTGTGCCACCGCATCAACCATGGAGTTCGTCGTGTTCTTGAAACTGTAAGTGGATTCAGAATCACTAGATGTCAGATTGTTTTGGTTAAGACTCGAATCCATGGGGATGTCACGATCAGAGCCATCGCTACGTTATGAAATCCGTTATTCCGTCTCACTGCTTACTGCGACAATCCGTCCTCTCGGATCTGGGCGAGCGGGATCGCTTTCCTTCCCCATCGAAGTCAGAGTCGGACTCGTCACCGCCTGGAACGTGCGAAGTTGGGGTCGCACAAGGTTGCGGTGATGAAACCAAGGCTCGGGCTGCGTGCGGGAGAGGTCGCGGTGAAAACGAGCGTCGGGGACGTGGGATGCAAACTCTCCTGTCAGAGATGCGCATTTCACTGACTGAACAACTGACAAATGAACTGTCGGGCCAAGCTTACTGTCCTTGAGCTTCTCTTGTCTGCTGCGCCGAGCTCGCAGGTTCCTGTTCCTGCAAGCGGAGTCGTAGCCGGAGCCGCAGGACCTCATCCTCTTTCCTTGCCAGTGTTTGTCTCCAAAGCTCCGTTGCAGTGAGGACTTTCTGTTTGTAGTTCATCTGTGCATCCTCGAGCTTCTTCATCCTGTTCTTGAACTTGTTTGTCATGTCCGTGTGGGCTTTGGAAACCTTCTCGTCGAACTTTTTCTTGTTCTCTCCTTTCTCTTTCGCCATCTGTGCCTGGTGCTCGGCGTTCACCTCTTTGATTTTGTTCTCACACATGGCAGTCAGTACCTTCATCTCCTTCTGGCTATCCTCGAACTTGTACTTGTACGTGTCTTCCGTGATTTGAAGCCTCCTAGCGTTCTCCACATCGTCCAGAATGTCCTCGCGTTTCTTCTTTTCAGCTGCCAGTTCAGCCTCGTGCTTCTTCTTGTCGTCCGCAATCTTCGCCTCGTATATTTTCTTCGTCAAAATCGCTTCCTTCTCAACCTCCCTCAAGCGATCGATTTCAACACGGTCCTTGTTCTGCGTCATGAGGGCGAGCTTGTTGAAAATCGCATCCTGCTTGTGCGTCTCCTCCAACTCATTCTTCCATTGGTTGTACATCTGTTGCAACCTTCTGTTGCAGAGGCGCCTGATACCGCTGAAGTCATTGGCTGAGTGCTGCATGTTCTTCTCAGCTTTCTTCCACTCAACTTTCCATTCATCCGGCAGGGGTCGGAGTTCCTTTGTGAGGCCCTGCTTCGTTGGGTCCGTCTCTGTGTCGTCGTGGCTTCCTGCAGGGTTTTGACTTCGACGCCAAGCCGCCCATTCCTCGTCGGTGTACACTTGCTCAGTCATGGCGCTAGTGGCGCCAAGAAAAAAACGGTGCGATCGCGTTGAATGTTGAGCTGAAAAGTTGCTGCAGTCCAACATGTTGAGCTTGGAAGCAACCCACGGTGCAGCAGTCAAGTCTTGGTGTGGCTTAGGCCGGGGCTCTTCGAGGATCTCGATGCGCAGACTGTCTCAGCCTGGTTGGCCGGCGACAGACTGAAAGTGAGCAGAGAGATACTGAATCCATGCATGACTTTCCTGCCTCTTCCTTCCCTCACATCACTCCTTGCTGCCTGCTCATTCCTCGCATCTACAGTCACACCCTCATCTTGATCATTCCTTCTTCCTTCCCTGCTTCCTTCCCTGCTTCCTTCCTTCCTTCCTTGCTTCCTTCCTTGCTTCGTTAATTATTTTCGCTGTCTCTCTCTCTCTCTCTCTCTTTCTTTCTCTCTGCATCTGTCTTTGAGGGTCCGGCTCACCCCTGCTCGGGGTTCATCCTCACCCCTGTTCGGGGTTCATCCACACCCCTGCGTGGGGTTCTCACGACCCCTGTTCGGGGTCCAGGCTCACCCCTTTTCGGGATTCATCGGTACGCCCCTGTGCGGGGCTGTAACGACCCCTGTTCAGGGTCCAGGCTCACCCCTGTTCGGGGTTCATCCACACCCCTGCACGGGGTTCTCACGACCCCTGTTCGGGGTCCAAGCTCAACCCTGTTCGGGGTTCATCCACACCCCTGCACGGGGTTCTCACGACCCCTGTTCGGGGTCCAAGCTCACCCCTGTTCGGGGTTCATCCACACCCCTGCACGGGGTTCTCACGACCCCTGTTCGGGGTCCAAGCTCACCCCTGTTCGGGGTTCATCCACACCCCTGCACGGGGTTCTCACGACCCCTGTTCGGGGTGTTCGGGGTTCATCCACGGGGCTCGACCCCTGTTCCCCTTTTCGGGGTTCATCCCGCAGCCCCTTCAAGGGCTTGGTGCGGGTACGCCCCTGTACGGGGCTCCGAAGACCCCTGATGTGGCGACCTGACATCCTGACAGAGCCTGCGCGAATGCCTAATTACAACTACTTTTGCCTACTACCTTTAAACTTCTTTCCTGATCAATGCCTCCTTACCTACATGCCCGCCTACCTAGCTATCTATCTACCTAGCGACCTGGAAGCCTGCCGGTGCACCTAGACCTACAAGTACCTCCCTCCTGCCTATCTACTTATCTATACCTACCTGCAGGAGTGGGTGGGCGGGTTTGGGGGTTGGGTGGGATTACAGTTTAGGGTCCAGGGTTTAGGGCATGAGCTGGACGTTACGAAAGCTTAGATTCCCTTCATGTTTAATCATGAACACACACACACTAATTTTCAAGTCGTTGTGAATCGTACAAAAAGCTGACTTTAGGGTTTCAGAACACAAAATCTCAAGCTTCTTGTTTTCGTTGAGCCACAAGAACACCAAGTTGCATTTGTTTGGTTTGCTCGGCACAAACGAATCTTCAAAATATTTTGATCTTCAAAAATATCTTGCAACAAAGAAATTCCATGTGAACTACAAAACTTGGGACAGGCAATTCTGTCAGTATGGCTTTGATTTTTCGATGTACATGTTTTCACATTTCGAACAAACCAAATTTTTCAGGCATTGATTTTTCTATTGAGCCACAAGCACACATCTTTTTATACATGTCCAGCATCTCGCTCTTTCCATAGAGCCACAAGAACACACATGACGTAGGCCCAATGTTGCTGCAGTAGTTGCATTTGTTTTCCGTCCTGCCCCCACCCCCTTCAGCACGATATCAGACATGTTGCTTTACGTGTCCTATATACACATGTTCTGTTCTTCATGTCAGCAACATGTGTCCTATATACACGCATCATATCAGCAACACGTGTCCTATATACACGTGTTCTTACATGTCCATCATATCAGCAACATAAATCCTAGGACCCGGTTCCATAACGGAAAGGACCCGGTTAGCCCCGGACAGGCATTCGTGCCAGTGCACCAGGCCTTCTACGGCCAACAGCAGCCTTTGCAGGCCTTGTGGCAGGAGTGCCACGCCTCGAAGACCTTCCTGGAGTGCTCCCACGCCACGAGCCTGGAGAGCAGGTTCCCAGCACGGGCCCAGCGTCCTTTTATGATTCAACGTCCTTATAACGCCAACGGCCTTATAAAATGACTACTGTCGGGATAGAGAGGATCGATTGTTGTATTATGTGCGTCCAGTACGTGCGATCCATGATATCTTTTCAGAAAGTGTGTATATTTCGTGTGCAAACACAGTGTTGAAAGCACCAACTGTGGGGAGATACGATCTATTTTTGCCCCTCAGCTCCTGTATGCCGCACCTCGAGTGTGTCAAAACAGTTCTGTCCTTTTGTGGCTTCGAAAAGACTTGCACCTATATGGGTGCCTTTAACGGAAAGTCAGTGAAGCCCTTGCAACTGTGGCATTTGCCTGGGTTTGATTTTGAGAACCTGGCCAGGCCCAGACCAGATCATAATGCTTTCATTGGTCTGGTAAGCTGAGGCGAAGACGGCCGTTTCACCGGTATGTCAGCAGATGTACAGGCTAGTGGGAAATACACTTCGTTATTCGGATAAGCAATTGTGCCGATTGTCCGGAACCTATTGTGACGACCCGCTTCGTCAGCCAAAATACGTTTCATAGCTTACTGAGCTGCATGATTTTCAAGCCAATCTGCTGTGACTGGTTTTTGGGGTGTGAATGCTGTGACACAACAGCAACAGCAGGCCATGCAGCAACGCAGGTAAAACAATGGGATGACTGATGAGAAGGTTGCATAACAATTGAGACACAATTCTG